ATCATGGTCCAAATAGTTGTTCATTTTTTTTTATTCCAAGTAGTTGTTGTGTTTCGAACATGTACCTATCATCCACCTTTTAACTAATATATTGTGCCATTGTGTCGGTGACACTTCAATTTCAACTGTGCAATCACAAATGGTTCTTTCCACAATGTTCCCAAATAATTCATTCTCTAACTGACCTTGCTTTTAGAATAGGCTATGCATTAGGGTTTTCATGGCACCAAGTGTTTGATTATTAATATGGCTTGTTAATTGTCATTGACCACCAGAGCTTTTCTTGAGTTACTCTATTTAATTCAACTAGTTCAATCTAGTCTTCCGTTTCATTACATGAGTTCTTTTGACTTAAGTCATGTGGAATTTAAACTAATTGTCTTAAGATTATGTACTTTATGTGAAATTTAACACGAATTCGCCGGTTTTTTTTAATTAGATAAACTCGCAATACATCTTCCTCTTTCTTTTTTCTTTCCATAACTTAGATGCCATGCATATTACTTGGAAGCACTTGGATATTTATTTTACCATTTTAGTGTCTAAATTTAGAGTCTTTGATAATTATTTGGAGTACATCAATATGTCATGATTCAAAAAGTTAAAATACCTCTAACTTTTCATTAATCTTAAAATAGCACTTATGAATTTCTATGACTTAAGCGAACCCTAGGATCTTCCTGTACTGCTTCACAAGCATTTCAGAATATGTTTCCAAGTGGCTTAATTTGTTACCGATAAGGCAGAAGCATGTGAAAAACTATAGGCTATAATTTTGACATAAAACATTGGATCCCTAGTAGTTAGAGTCTCTTTCGAACCGATCTACAAATATCATGCTTACAACATTTAGTGTATGTTGGACCATGTCTGTCTTCTTTGACAAATAATCCCCATACCATCTATAAAACTCAAGTGGAATTGACATTTTAATGTCTATCACATTGATCCTGTTGATCCAATGTCATTTATTATTTAACTTCAATTCTTTCAAATTGTATTTCCCTTCCGATTGACATATTTGTCTATATATGCAGAATAAGACTAGACATCAATAATCAGAGGTCAGTATCAACATGATGGAAAACTAGTGATTCAAACTTAATGAAATTAAGATGTTATTTTGATTTAAGCTAGCTAACAAATTGATTAATGTTTTTTGAATTTAGCCAATGTGATGATGTAGTTCTTATCAAATTGCATTACACAAGAAACTAATATTCACGGCATGGAAGGGGTAGAATTTGGATGTAGTGAATTAAACTGGATGATTAATGTTCGGACAAATTACATTTTATCCCCCTGTGGTTTAGCATTTTTTACAGAACCCCCTATGGTTTCAAAAGTTATACATAACCCCTTCATGGTTTGGATTAAAGTGTTAAAGTAATGAAATAGTTATTCATAGCGGAATTTCTGAAAATATCGAAATTACCCTTATAAATACATGATACATTAACCCCATATGATTTTTATATTTTACCATATAACCCCCTTATGGTTTAATACTTTACCATATAACCCCTTTATGATTTTCAAAATATACACATAAGTAATACAGGATTTCTTAGAAGTAATACAGGATTATTTAGACAAATCAGAGAAGAACCAGTAAGCGCATTAAGTAACCCCGTAAATCTTAGATTGATAACACAACAAAGCATAAACCAAATTAGAAGTGTTAAAGTAATGGAAATAGTTATTCATAGCGGAATTTCTAAAAATATCGAAATTACCCTTATAAATACATGATACATTAACCCCATATGATTTTTATATTTTACCATATAACCCCCTTATGGTTTAATACTTTACCATATAACCCCTTTATGATTTTCAAAATATACACATAACCCCTCTTGGTTAATAAATAATTTTCAACTTTACATAAGGGTATTTTTAATATTTTATGTGACTCCATTAAGAATGATCATTCCCGTCACTTTAACACTTTAATTCAAATCATGAGAGGGTTATATATAGCTTTCGAAACTATAGGGGAGTTAAGTAAAAAAATGGTAAACCACAGGGGGTAACTGGAATTTGCCCTTAATGTTCTAAAGTAATTTGAATTAAGAAGAAAGTAATCAGTTGAGAAACATCATTTGCATGTTGTGGGTTCATATATTTCTTACAACTGGTATATGTGTAGATGCATGCATGAGTGTGGTATATTAATTTATACACTGGACCTTTATTTACGAGTTTAATTTTTCATCATTCTTTTGTATATAATGAAATGCACATTATTATAGCCAACAATACCTGATTATTTTGTTGGGACTTTGGAAAACAACAATATTAACTGCATGAAAGGGGAAGAATTTGGATTAGTGGATTAAATTGGATGTTTAATGTTCTAAATTGGTTTGAACTACATCAGAAATTTTCAATTTAGATACATCATTAGCATGCATGTGGTGTGCGTAAATGAAAATATCTATCTATTTATGTATTTATATGGTATTTTTATAGACACTTACATGAGGTGGAATCTATACTCAAGAATCCCTTCAATTACAAGTTTTGCATTATTTTTTTGTATATTGTAAAAAGCACAATTGTTGTAACCAACAATACCTAATGATTTTGTTGGGACTTTGGAAGAGAGAATATTGCTTTTGAAATAAGTGACCAAAAAGAGGATATATTGTGATGTATGAAAATCTCAAGATAGTGTATGGTAGATTGGTAGGTCTCTAGTTGTTCTAACTATTAGTTGTCTCCACATGGCTGCTAAAGCCTCTATAACCTTTAGCTACTTGTCCCATGTATTCTTTTCCTAATTAATAGTTCCATGTTGGGATTTCTAATTTGCTTTGCCAATTATTGTCACTGAGATTACAACTCTTAACAAGCACTTTGGGACCCCCCCTCCCCTCCCACTAATCCAATATTCCTTCACCCCAATACAAACAAAGTCCTTAACAAATTGGAGGCCCTACCTCAACAATCCCCCAACATCATCAAGGGGCACTTTTGGACAAAACCCTTATGGGAGTTTTCCTTAAAATTATTGATGGTTTGATGGTATTAGTTAAGGTTATATTAATTAGTACTCATCTAGGCTAGATAGTGTACTCAAAAGTTTATTCATAGTTCTTTTACAACAAGATTCAAATTGTTTATAATTGCTTGAATTATGTCATATTACTAGATTAGGTAAAGATGATTGGACATCTTGTTTTAATTTATTTCAAGTTAACAACAATGAGGGCACCTTTTGGATTTTATTGATGATGAGGGTATAATTAGGGGTGACCTTAATTGGGTTAATGTTAATCTACTTGTGTTTTATTGATTAGTTCAGATATTGTTTGGTCAAAATACATATCTCACTAAGAAATCATGATTTTGGGTTCTGAGCTGTGGCGAAATCAGGAATCATTAATGTACAGTTTAGGAATTTTCGAAAAATAATTTCGCTGGTCTCTTTTAAAAAAGTTTTTCTGGGTTGTTACCTGTGCCGGCTTTATGAAATGCATGAACTAAGGAAGCTTCTTCTTGAGTGAAGCCGCTTTTTAGTAATTTTATTTTATTTTTGTCTTGAGAGGAATTTCAGTTGTTTTTTTTAAAAAAAAAAAAATCTTCCCACTCTCAATTGTCATGTCAGGTCACTGAGCCAATCCCAGTGGTTGCATAGTGAAGCTTCCAAGAATAATTTCACCACTTTAACATGTAAAGCCATGCATAGGGTACCTTTTCAAAATTTTTCTTATAAAAAAATTTTGCATTGTAATTGTCTTCCTTAACCAAAAGGAAAACATAGGAAAATAGATATCTTACATTTACTTTTTTTTAATCCAATTGCTAATCCAATGAAACGAGGCCTTAACCTTTGAACTTCCATATGTTGAATTTGAAGATTGAATTGTTAGATAATATATCTCTTTTAGCTGTTACATTACCTATTTTTAACTTTTTAAATCTTAAATTAGTGTTCCATTCTTAGATCCTCTTTTCCCTTGCCCTCCCCTCCCTGCTTCTTAAATCCCACCCATTCTCTACTTAAAAAAGATTTTAAAAAATGCAACAACAAATTACAGCACAAAAATATTACAAAATGTAAAATGAATAAAAATATAGTTGGTCTTTATATATTGTATAAGATTATGAAAAACCTATGGTAATAGGATTAGTGCAAATAAATTACAATTCAACAATATTACAAATATCAATAAATGGTGAAATGAATAGTAACAGATAGTTAGAAGAAACTCATTTGTCAACAGCTGTCCGAGCATATTATTAGTTTTTTCTCAATTCTTTCACCAAACTTTTGCATCTTAACAAAAAAATTTGGCCTCTAAAATTATATGCAATACATACATACATATATAAATATATATATATAATTGGTTGTGTACATGTATTTATAAAAAATTTCTCTATCCTTTAGAGTTTTTAATCATCCAAGAATCAAATTTTAAGTGCATTTATGTTCATTATTTTCTTACATGTAAAGATTTTGTATTAATACATTCGAAAAAAGTCATGACATTTCACATTTCCTAATATATCTCTTTCTTTCATATATTAACTTATTAATATTAATTTGAGTAATACAAAAATGAATCATAGGGTAAAATTTAGTTGAAACTAATAATTAAGCTATTGCTGAATTTATTATTTGTATTCTATTTAATTTCAAATTTTCTCTTGCATTTAGTATCTTAAATTATACAAACCTTGGTATTCAAGTTATTTTATATCAATAATTGTTCAAAAAGAAAAAAAAAGAAAAAGTTCTTAATAATAAAAAGTGCCATGCAAATGCAATGGTGAATAACTCTTTTAATTAATAATTTACTATTCATTAGCTAAATTGGTCCCTGAACATTTACACTAAAACCAATTTAATCCTTTATGAATTTTTTTAACCAATGTAGTCTTGGAACTACTTTTTGTTTTTTAACGCAGGACTTCTGTGGCGCCACCACCAAATTTTACATCTCTTGTGCGACTACTTAGGGGTATTTTTATCATGTGGATCACATTTTTCAATAAAGTGGTTAGAACAAACACAACACACGATTAAATTTGAAACATTTAGGGGGAGATGGAGAACATCTACTCACTTTGGCCCGACGGCAAGTCGCCAAATTCGCACCTCCTTGTGCAAATTCTCTCCAAAGAAATATATTAGAGGAGGAACTTCGACCATGGTCCATCAAGTTCAAAAAGCAGTCAACAATCAAGCCATGATAGGAAAGAAAGTGGGCAATCATCAAGGGTGAATAGAGGAAAGGTAGAGTTCTATAATGGGAATGAGGTTGGTTTCCATCACGGGCGAATAGATAGAGGAAAGGTAAAGTTTTACAATAGGGATGAGGTTGGTTTCTATCACTGACGTGAAGCATGTCGAATAGTGATTTCGTGGATATTGTTGAACCTAGGCAAAAGATTTCATGGCTGCTCAAATTATGGGATAATTTTTTAAATTAATTTTTGCCAATAAAATATGATGTAGTTATTAATTAATTTAGAATAATGATGGTAGTAATTTTTATTTTAGGCACCAAATGCTTGCAACTACTTTTTGTGGTATGATCCACCTATGCCACTGATGACAAAGAATATGGTGGCCAAAATTTTGAAGAATCTGAGGACGGCCGAGGTGGAGAACACATTGATGAAGATTGAAATTGGAAAGCTTCAAAAAGAGAACAAGATGATGAAGATCGAAATTGAGAAGTTGAAAGCAACAACGAAATTGTTAGCGGTTATAGTGATTTGCTCTTGTTTTTTTTTGGTTTGCTGTAGTTCTTGGCAGTGGCCAGGAAAGACAAAGTGTCATGGATTTGAAGCCAAAAATGTTGCAATAGAGCTGGTATAAAGATGGACCCAAGGCATGGTTGTGTTTGTATTTTCGATTTTGTTGTAAGAAAATTTAAATCCATGAATGTAATATCTGTGTATGTAATATATGCAATGGGAAGTTGAATTTCAAAAATGTTGACATAGTTGCTAAACTTGGTTGTGGCATTTGGGGTTGAAAAAAATTTGGCAGAATTTTGCCTTAAATTTTGATATCCGCTAATTTGGACCTGTACCAAGAATCACAAAACAATGGAATGACAATCACAAGACATGATGTTGGTAACAAAGCCACTTCCATTGCTTAACCAAAAAGTTTACATTAAGTTCCGAACCAAAAAGAGGACAATCAGCACACAATCTTTGTAGATACTGAGCAAAGGATAATATATAGTCCCTAAACATCTGCACCAGCAAGTCTGGTTCTAATTTTGATCTTCAAACAAATGCCAGCCTGAGTTATGAACTTGCGGGTATGTTCTTCATCTAACAGCCTATGTGCCTGCATTGAACAGATGAATACTTCAGCAAACTATATTTACAATCGGACTTTTTTTAAAAAAAAAAAAATGACAGAAGTAAACTCACTGTTTCTTTTTCCCTAGTTTTCTTTTCCGTTGATTCAGGAAATGGACCATAAATCCTCATATCACTCTTCTCTTTCGCCATTCTTGAGCCTGGCAACTTGAACATGTTGTTCCGTTACCTATGCCGTGGCATATAGAACACTCACTGATCTTAGTTTGGTCTTTGAGGAATTTGGTTCGAAGCTGAAAGCTGGACATCAATGACTTCAGGCTCCTCACTCGCAGCATGTACATCTTCACCCGATAGCATGAAAAGTAATCTCTTAATCAATCAGCATAATATTAAATTTAGCTGAAGTGTAAAGTAGATCTTGAGTAAAAATCTAACTAGCCATTATAAATGATAAGAATTGCCTTGTGGGGGTCTTTGATTTCTCTCATTGTCGCATACTTCGTCTAGGAAAAAAAGAATTAGGCCCTGTTTAATAATTCAATTCAACACTTAAACTTAATATATTCAGATTTTAACATGTTCAGACGCGTTTGATAATAAAAAATTGAACATCTGAATTAATTAAGTAGCATTGAATGCTTATGCAAAATTTGCTATAAAAAATAAGTGATGACCTATTTACTTATCACTTAATGTGATGTCTACTCAAATGTATTAGATTTAGTACGTAACAATTCAATAATTTAATGGATTCAAACTTCAGATTTTAAATTTTAAATTTCAGTTTTCAGATTTCCGTTTTATTAAATGCACCCTTAGTCTTAAGTTTATAATCATGTAATAAAAAGCCAAGAATTGTTCAAACTTGGACTTTACCAGCTCTTATATCTAAATGAGGTCTTCCTTTCACATCAATTTTGTTTGGACAGGTTTTTTGTTATGACCCTTCATTTTGCACTAGGCACACTTGTTGGTGTTAGATAGAGAAGGCCTTCTATTACAAGATCCAGCAATTACATCAGGTTGTACAATCACTGGGCATTTCCTCACTATGTGGCCTATTTGATGTGGCGTTTTGAGCATGTCATTTTGACAAGTCCACTTCTTGGAAATGTGATACCATCACTTGAATTTGTCCTTGGTTCATCTGGCTCCCTTTTCCTTGATGTCTTCGGCTTACCCGGCAGCATCAACTTCTTAGGTGGCAAGATTGGTTCCCTCTTTAATTGACCCAAGCATTAGGCCCGCTCATTGGACCTATAATTGGTTCATATTCCTTTCAAGTAGCTCTCTTTTGAGTAGTATGGATGAACTAAACTCTCTGTAGACACACCCATCAAATAACCGTTTGGATCGACCTATTTTTAAAAAATAAAATTTTTAAATACAATCTTATAGTAATATACAAATAAAAATAATTTAAAAAACATACTCCCTCCGTCCCATTGAAGTTGTCATACTTTCCTTTTTTTTCTGTCACAAAATAATTGTCACATACCCAAAATAGAAAGCCTGTTTACATCCAATTTCAACATTTACCCTCTTAAAATATGGGTCCTACAACTTTAACTCAAAAGTCAATGTAAAAAGGAAGCACCACAATTTGGTGCGTGAAAGACACCCCCAAATGTGTGCCATGCGTTTGTTTATACGTGCTTTTTTATCATGAATTTTTGAGCTAAACAAAATAGATAGGCCCCACACCAATAAATTTCTAGCATAACTTTCTTTGTATGCATTACACGTTGGAGGGCAAAGGTGGAAAGTAAAACAAAAGTTGCAAGATTCGGTGCACTGTTAATAAAAATCACAACTTCCCAAGTGCGACAAACTTATCGGGACGGAGGGAGTATCATTCATAAAATATATTCAAAACAACTCACAAATATACCCAAAAAAAATAAAAAAAATTAAATTTTATAACATTTTCTACCTATCACCACCATCCACCATCACCCCCTCCCCCTCCCCCTCCCCCACCCACCACCGCTACCACCTCCTCTCTCCTCCCCCGCCCTCTTGGTCCTTCTCCATCTCTCTCTTCCTCCTACCCCCCTTCCCTCACTCATAACCACAATCGAGAATAGATCGAGGGGCGGAGAAAGGGCTGGAGGGTGGTAGGAAAGGGGAGGAAAGGAGAAAGGAGAAGGGAGGGGGTGGTAGCAGTGGTGGGTGGGGGTGGGGGGTTGTGGGTGTAGGTGATCGTATTAATTTTTTAAAAATAGTCTAAAAATATTTTAAATTTAAAAGGTACCCCAAAATATATTTCAAAAACATCACAAAAAATCTACAATAAAAATTTTTCATATACACTGCTACAGTAAAATATTTCAAAAACATATTAAAAAACAACTAATCCAAACAGAGTTATGACACACTAGTTAGCTCCCATCTTCTACAAGTGCAAGTTTTGTTTGGAATGTCAATGACATATGTGCCCTCATACGTGTGTTTAACGTCAAACAACTCCTCCTTTGATCATTTGCAATGTTGGCAGTACATTTTTTTTTTTTTTTTTTGTATTTTTTGGGCAGATTTTGTCAATTTTCTTCTTCATCATTCCCTTTTGGTTCACAATCTTTCCATTAGATAAATTCTATTTACCTCAAACATGCCAAGAATTGGCTTCTCACTTACATTTGTTATCCCTGAATTAAAGTCTAACAATGGTTGTTGAGTAGAAAATCACACTTGGGAGTGGTATGGAAGTGTGACCATGACCAGTGGTGAGGTGATGTGTTGTCCATCAATCACTTCTAGGCAGCTCCATCATACTCCCTTAAAGAGTCTATTTGATTTTGGAACATTGTCATGTAAGTTGACCTTGCACATGTCCAGAAACTCTCTTTTAATGCTTCACTAGGATTTAACTTTTATTATTATGAAGATGTCTAACATAATGCCTGTGCTCAACACCCGAAATTACTTCTTGAGTAGATCCTAGGCCTTTTACAAGTTAAGTACAAACACAAATTTATCAGTAGGCAACCATGTAATAGAATGTGACAAAAAATTAATTCATATTAAAAATGATTAACCTTTTATATATCTATCACTGATGAATGTCCAGCTTCTTTGATCACGGATTCCCAAATCGTGTTTTAGGAATTCAAGAAACCACTTCCACGGCCTCTTATTCTGAGTCTTCACTATTGCATAAGCAACTGGGTAAATGCAGCCATTGGGATCTTTCCCATGACAGTTAAGAGCACCCCTAGATGTGAACTTCTCAAGTGGCAGTAGCCATCTACACCAAGTAAACGCTTGCATCCAGTTTTAAATCCTCTCTTTAGTGCATCAAAACAAATATATGGCATCTGAAATATTTCTTTCCTAAGGCCTTCATCTAATGTTGTCTCCATGTAGACTGTAGAATCCAAATTTCCCTTTCAGCAACTCTTTACAATAATCTCATAACCTTTCATATTGGTCTTTTTATAGCTTCCATGGAGTAACACTTTTCCCTTCATGAATGTCTTTTAAACTAGAGTCACTCTCTTGTTCAATCTTAAATAGTCTACATACTTTCTTGCCAAGATTCTCGAGGTTGCTCTCTTATGGTAAAAGGTCCTACCACATTTGTGTTCTAGACCTATTGTCTTCATCACCCTCTTCAACTTCAGAAGCAAACAACATCCATATACAGTTTTCAGCCTTGTATTTGACTCTCATTCTTGCAGCATCTTGCTCCACGCACTTAAATGTCCTTGCCCATTTGACTACATAGTTGTCAACTACTGTCTTGAACAACTGTTAACATGGAATTTTGGATATTCCATGTCAATTTTAGGTTTGAATCTCGCAAATTTAGGCCTCCTCCTTGTGCTATCTTCATCAAAGAAAGAATACACACTTTTCAACTCATCTGAGACCATTGAATCAGATTCTTCTTAGACTAGAATCTAGTCTCTATCATCAAGGTGTAGCTCATTCATAGCAGTCGCCTTGGCTCTACCCTTTTAAAGTGCTACCTCCATTGCCAGCTTGCAAATTACCAATGCGCATCCAGCTCTTTCTTAGGACCCACAACACAAGTTTGGAATATCTCATCATCATCATCTTTACTAAAATCATAGTCACTGTCATGGAAGCTATCACCTTTAGACGAATCTGAATGTGTAACTTCATTAGGGTCATTTTCTTCATGTAAAACAGCTTCTGATTTTCCCTTTTCTTCTTCAAATGCTCTATGATTTTCTCTACACGAATGCAAGTTCAATATCTTCAAAGGTTATATTGACAAAGAAATCATCTTCTTCTGCAACATTAGTGTCACAATTTGTTACACTTGAACTCTCATATTTATGATCTATAAATCTACATGGATGTCATCAACCACATACAATTCAACTTCACCATTCTGTTTACCAATAGTAACCATATCAATTGCATCATCAGTATCAATTTGCCGGAGACTAAGGATGCATTTGATAAAACTGAAGTTTGAAAATTGAAGTTTGAAATCTTGAATCTGAAGTCTGAAGTCTGAATCCATTAAGTTATTGAATTGTTAAGTATTAAATCCAATACATTTGAATACATATCACATTGAGTGATAAGTGAATAGCTTATCACTTAATTTTGGGAGCAAATTTTGCCTAGAAAATTCAATGCAACTTAATTAATTCAGATGTTCAATTTTTTATTATCAAACGA